CATGGCCTCCTCTGACTAGGAGGATCAGGCCCATGATAAGTAATTGCATGGTGACGTCAGTTATGGGCATCACCTAAGCTTTCTTTCTCATCCTGATTAGTCGTGGGTGAGTGAGAAGATTTCGGGGAATATTCGTCCCTTGTGGAGGGAAACGAACTGCTGCCCTTGTGCTAGACTGCCTTGGCCAAGATTGGGCCTTGACCAAAGTCCTGACGAGATAACGTCTTGTTTTAAATATCTGTTACATTTAACGGGACCATTTATGGTGACGTTAACAAGTCCCTTAGACCATTACACTTCTGCATTTTTGACATAACAGAGTTGTTCTAGGTTATTCGCAGGCACGTGGAGGGCTGCTATTGGCAGCTTATACAGCTGGCAGGGTCAAATCGTTGTGTGTTCGGCGATTTCATCATGAAGACGGTTTACTACCCCTTTTGTGGTATTTAAGGCTCTGTTCTCCCTTATGTTTCCTTCCTACCTTCTACTTATTTCTCTTTAACTTCATGTTCTTGAGAAAAAACCCTTTTAGTCCCTTCTTCATAATTTTCATGGCCAACATTTGCGCTTTGGGGAGAGATATAACCACCGAAAAGTGGGAGTCTTTGGAGTTTCGCTTCGGTTTCGTTCCCGAACACGGAGTGCAAATCCCCCGGGCCAATGCATCACTCTACAGTCTACCTGATGGCAAAGTCAGCATCCCAATCTCCTTGTTTTAGGCAGGTTTGCGCTTTCCCACCACTTATTTCTTTAACCTGCTTATCCGGGAATATGATTATTCGATGAGAGGATTGATCCCTATCGTTATAAACAAGATAATGGGTTTCGAACTACTCTGTCGTGCTCTGGGCCGCCTGTCGACTGTTCCAACTTTCAAGTACTTCTTTAACACCTCTACTCAGTCGGGGACTCAAACCCTCTCTCGGTGGTGGGGAGTCCCTACTCTTATCCATGATAAGAAATCTAAAAAGAACTGGCAGGAGAAGTTCTTGTGGGTGAAAACCGGTCTCGTGGTGCCCAGTTACCCAAGGGATAAAGTGTACGTCGACCGTGCTCCGACGCTTTTTGGTGCTGACAAGGAATTGGCCGATGTCCATGAGAAGATTAGCATCGACTGCTTCTTGGTTGTCGGAATAAGTTCCGCTTGGAGGAAGTCAGTTCTTTAGAGACAGCTCTTCAGGGCCAGTTCGACGATGAGCTTCAGTGTTATGATGTTGATCTTGTGGAGGCTCTCCCCCCCCCCCCCTCCCCCTCTTTTTTTTTCTAGACGAGGAATCGAGGCAACTGTCGATTCTGATAGTACCACCGGCACCGAGTCGTAAAAAATGTAATTTGAGTTTCTTATAGGAGGGTACCAAGTATTCCACTCGTGCTCCCGATGAAGGTCCTCCGAAACTGCTAGAGGGGGCGCAAACTAGGGCGACTGAACCGCCCTGTCATATAGGAGAAAAAATCAGCGAGAAAACCAGCCCTGCCCCCACAACTTAAGGAGTCAGGGAAGAGGTTGGGTCTTTGCCTCCCCATGGTCTTGCCTTAATCTCTTCTAGTAAAACCGCAACCACTACCCTTCTGATGGGTTCTTATCCGGATTCCTATAAGCCATCCTGGAGACTAACTGCTCAAGATCTTATCTCTGACCATGACACCACTCTTGAGTGGTGTTAGCACACATTTCCACTTACCACAACTGAGGCCATAATTGTTAGTCCGATGAACATATGGCTGACAGCTTACGCTACGCTGCTGCCCAAGTGGCGTCTTATTCGGTCGCGACTGTCGAACGTATCTCCGAGATGGAGACCCTCCAGTTTAATTCTGACAGGAGGGGCATTGAATGAGAAGATCTGAAGGCCTAAGTGATAAAGTTAGAAGCCAATAACAACAATTTGGAGTCCAGGAAGGAGGCGGTGTTGCTTGATAGGGAAAGCTTGGCAAGTCAAATGCTGAAGCTGAAGGATGAGGTGGGGCGCCTGAACAATCGCTTGGGGGTCCTAACTTTGGAGAATGATGGTCTGAGCAGGCGAACGATAGAACTGGAGGTTGATTTCATTGCTAAGAACGCCACAAGGGGAATGCTAAAAAACAATGTTTCTTGGATCCTTAATTACGAGCTCAACCGGGTGGTGGACCAGGTAATCGACAGCCCCCAGTTTCTCTATGGTTTGGTGCAGGTGTTGGTGGCTTGCATAGTTGCGGAGGTGAAGCAGGGGAAAAAGCTGCTAAGGAGCTAGTGATTTTCGGGGAGTTTGGCATGGAGGTTGAGGTGGACGTGACCACCAAGGTTGACGAGATGGAGGATGCCTTGGCTGCTTTTACTGAAACAGATTATGCTAGATATCTTCGCCCAGGTGATGTGGATATGGTCGGGCTTCGTGACCTTTGCCAATACGCTCAGGGTGATGGATCAGGCCCTTGCCCAAGCTCTTCCCCTGGTGATGGTAACACCCTCACCCACAAGTAACGTTGTTTCTTTGATTTGTCGTGATGTAATATCAATGAACAATTTTTCTATTTCTTGTTTTGTTGATTTTTTCCTTTGCTGCCCTCAGGGTGGCTTGAAAGTCCGAGTTTCCGATAACATGAAAATTACTACTTTATATTTGTGGGTATGAATGTTTGTTGTTGTTAGGATGTAAATCCTCAAAGATCGATTAGATTCAATGGGTAAGTAAAGAACACAAAGATAATCAAATTGATGTTGAATGATTAAAAGTCACACACACAGATGAACTCGATGAAGAATTTCAACTGTAGAGGCGTGCTAAGGTTTACAAAGTATATCTTAGCAAAAGCGTTGACAATCTACGGTGCATGCATGCACTATAAATACTTAAACCCTAATAAATGTGACATCTTGAACAAGCCCAATACCCTATACAAAATGGACTAACTATTACAAGCCCAATGTTGCAACATCTAACACCTAACAATTGTTATCACACATATTCTTTTGTATGGTTTCTTCATATGTGGTTTATGTTGGCCATCACATGGTATTTACGCAGGGTTTGCTTGCACCCGTGGTTTGAGTTCTAGTATTGGTGAACTCTGTATGTTTGAGCAAAATTGGTCTTTGAGAAATTTGTTCTAATTTTCTACTTAAAGACCCTAGGTGTAGCCAAGATCGTCGTCTTGAGGCTCACCCGATTATGCTTTTTTGTTTTATTAGTGGAAGATTATGATCCTTCTACACTCATGTCACACATTCATTTGTATGTTTACTATGATGTAAATGATGAACATGTTTTGGGAAGAAGGTTATGAGCCTTCTATATGAGAACTTTCTGGCTGCCTCCTTGTAATGATTTCGCTCGTGTGACGTTGAATGACCAGTCCTTGTTGTCACACAGTAAATGTACACAACCTCTTTGTTTTGTTTTTCAAGCATGAAAATAAGGTGCATCTGAATTGCCCTTTTGGTTTAATCTAGTTTTTCTTAGAGTGTAATAAAATTGAAAGTAGTAAAGTAATTTTTGCTAATTACGTTTACATGTAAAACTTAATACACAATGCCTTTTCTAGCATTGGTTCAACATTTAACACTTGTTTAAAAGTAAAAGTGGTGTAGGCTCTGAGCATTCCACGTTCTTGGAATGGCATGCCCGTCCTGAGCTTCTAGGACATAAGCAACATTCTCATGGGCTTCCACGATTTTGTATGGTCCTTCCCACATGACACTGAGTTTGTTGGATTAGATGTCTAAGACCATAACTATAGTTAGTATGAACTTAACCCAATAGTAGCATTGTCCATTTCGAGTTGCCTTCACCAGAAAAACTTAATACATGGATATTTGAGAAAGAGGTTATTTGTGATTTATTGATATATTATAAGAATAATATATTAATTGAGAAATCATATTATATAATTAGTATTGATCAAGAATTAATTTTGAATTAATTTAGTGATCAAAAGAGACTAATTAAATCAACGGGGAATGATTATGTAAATCAGTGATACATATGGTTTGGGCTAATGATCCATGAGTGATTTGTGATGGGTTAAGCTTATGAGTTAGTCAATGAAGTGTTAGTCCAAATAAATTATTGGATAATAAGCTTAAGTGTAAGAATTAGGGTTAAACATATGACTCTTGGAATTCTACACTATAAATGTATACGCTAAGCCCTAAAATCGGACACCCTTGGATTCTAAGAAGAGTTATCCGATTTTAGTATCTCCCAAACCTCTCTCATATTCATCTTATTGTTTATTGTTGTTTGTGACTTGTTTGAGGCATCACACTTGAGGTGCTAAGCTCTATTAAGGCCATGTTCTACAAGCTACTACACAAGGTAATCCTCTAACTAGTTTTTATGATCCAAATATCACCTTTGCATGCTAGTTAGGCTTCACGCTTTGGAAAATGAATATTGCATGTACAGTTAAATAAAAATTAGATCCAAATCATTAAGGTCATATGTACTCAATAGGAATGTTATGTAACATAAAACCCAATAATGGTATCAAAGCCATGCATGTTTTCTATTAGATTGATTTAATTGTGTTGTTTTCAAAGTTGAAAATTTATGATTTTTGCTTTGTGACTGCTGGACTCGTCGAGTCCCATCATGGAACTCGACGAGTTGGATGATATGACCATGAAATCGATGAGTCCAATGCCTAACTCGACGAGTTGGATCATCAGTTGGAAGAATTTTCGATGTTAGGATGAAATCCTTAAATATCGAATAGATTAAAACAGGTAAACAAGAACACGATATGATCAAACCGATGTTGAATGATTAACAGTGAAGCCTCAGAAGAGCTCAACAAAGAATTGCTTCTGTAGAGGCACAAAATAGGGTTACAAAGATAATATAAAAAACTTAACCAAAATACATAACATGCATGCATCTTATATATTATAACCCTAACAATAAATACGAGTGGACAAGCCTAACTCGTTTGTACAAAATGGACTAAACCAAATAGGCCCAATGACGCAACACTTTATCTTTAATAATCTCCCCCTTTGCGACAATTGAGATCATAGCCCTTCAATTCTTGATTCGCTTCTGCACTTCGTAGATCTTTGGAATGAAGCTCAACAGCAGCTTATGAACCTGGATATACCACGTGATCATATTAGAGAAACATTTCAAGTCATCCTTGTGGTTGACCTTGAAATTCGTAACCAACTCCAAAATAAACTCTAGAAAAGTAGTTGTATACAAGTGTTTGTCTTCAAGATGAAAATATAGCTTCTGACATTCTGCTCCTGGGCAATCTCTAGACATGTACACAGCCAACCATCCTTCATTGTAAATTTTTCCTGGTTTGAGCTTCCGTAAGTTATTCGGGGCTTCCTTAGGAACAATACTTGGTTTCGTCCTCAAAATTGTGGCAATATCCACATCCATCGTTCCAACCTCCTAAATGTATGATTTGATCATTAGTTGGAGATGGATCATCACAGGTTCGTACTTTTCCTTTTCTCTTAGCAACATATTGTATAGCACTATCTAGTCATGGGGGTTCAGTCAGGGCAGGTCTACAAGTTTAAATTCAAAGGCTTGACATGCCGATCCTCTCGCAACTTTAAACTTTGCATTAGGGAAGCTTTCAGTCTCGATCGGTCCAGTGACTTTCACAACGACAATATTGTGAATGCTCCAAGTCTCGTGTTGAGGCTTCATGTGCTTCAAGTAAAAGGAAAACAACATCTAATCAGCCCAACTACTTGTGAGAGGTGCATCAGCAACCTTCATGAAGGTACGAAACCTGAAGGCCTTTGGAGTAAGTGAAAGATCCAACTGCGAATCCTGAGAATTTTGAACTTCAAAGGATGCAACTAGATCCAACCAACATTGGCTCGGCAGATCCACAACCTCATTATTAATCCGCTTCAGGGTCCACTTGGGGAATAGCATCACTTGGCTTTTGAGTGTTGTCTGAGCTTCTTTATCAGCCTTTTCCTTTTCTTCTACCTCTCTAACGATGTGAGCATTTTCATCCAACTCTGCCTCGCGAGCCTTCCGCCTTTTAAGCTCAGCTTCATCAGGCTCTTCGTCTCTTTCATCATCAATAATGGGTTCATTGTTAAATAACTTTTCTTTTCACTTGGGTTCTTTCTTGATGACAGGAGGGTTGACTGGAGCTTTAGGGGGGTTCATTCAATTGAAATTTGGAGCCACATTCTCCCCCTTGTTGCGAAAACGCCACCGGTTTCGTAACACCTTCCAAACGGTGTAACATAGCGAACACTGGGTGTAGCTTCTCAGCCAGATGCATCTTTATAGTGATGGAGATCATGGGATCACGAGTCTTAATGATATTAGAGAGCAATCCAGTAATGTCGGAGATACAACTTCTAGTGACAGTATTTTCCGATAGCAAATCATCGACTTGCTTCTCAGTGTAGTGAAGCTTTGTTTCCAATACTTTACATTTTTTTTCTTCTTTGATGGAAAGAGCATCCATTATTTTACTCTCCATTGCCAGTTCCTCCTGAAGCTTTAAGATCTTCGCATCGATGGAAGACTAGAATGCTTTATTATCAGACTGAAACCTCCGGAGAAGTTCAACAAAGTTCGCTCTTTCTATTTTAAACATGTCACATACATTCTGAATGGCCTTGTTCGCAGTGACGATGTTGGAGTTGTAGTTAGTCTTATAATCTTCCATAAACTCGATGGTGTCAGCAATAGTTTATTGAATTTTTCGGTTGTGGATTTACAAACATCAGCTGAGTCAGAAACTGCCTTGTTCATGGTAGAGGTGTTAGTTGCATGTTCCCTTGTGACCCGCTCAAGAATGAACTCAACACCTACTTTGGAGTAAGACGAAGAAGAAGAAGGATTGGATGCAAGAATCAGTTGGTCGATATTAGCGTGAAGGGACTTAAGTTCCCCTTTTGTAGCAGAGGCTTCATCTTCACTATCAATACTGATTTGAAAAGGACTGTAAGTGAATCCGCCCATATCATCTTCATCATCTACAAAAATCATGTCTGGGTCATCGGTGCGAATGGGAGAGATGGGTGGATTAACATGGCTTGAACAACCTGAAGTGTTAGCCCCCGTATCAGATACATTGACTGAACTTAAAGGTGCAGTAGATGCTTGGGGTGGAATGGTGGATTCTATAAAGATAGGAATTAAAACTGGAATAGATGTTTGTGGTTGAGATGAAATAGGTGGAGGATAATATGCAATATTAATTGGTGTAGAGGTGGTTGTTTTTGGTGAGGGAGGAAGAGAAGGAACATAATCATTGAGTAGTGGAGTTACCTCACGATTTTTTGGTGGAACTTTAGTGCGAACAAGAGGTTCGTTGTGAACATGTTCGTCCTCCTCATTATGAACTGGCCCTTGATCTTCAGTGTGAATGGGATGATTCTCCTCAATGCACATCTCCGACTCGGAATCAGATTCAGATCGTTCGCCTTCACTCTGGTATGGAGAAGGAGTGGGAGATTTTATCCTTTTATCAGGTTGCTTTCTTCTCTTTGGTGCAACAGTAGATGCAACATGAGCCTTTCACTTTTTCGATAGGGTTTTCGCAACCCATGAAGGTCCTTCTTTAGCAGTGTCTTTCTTGCTAGCTTTCTTCGACCCTCTTCCCCCTTTCTTGCCTTTGTCAGCATCAGCCAATATGGCTTGGAATTTAGCAGTCATTGGAGGAAATCCTGAGGGAGTAAGAGTTTGATAACCCTCAAGGATTTTGCTGGTGGCAGGCACATCATGAAAGATTGCCTCCGGTATTGATCCACTGAGGGAAAACTTTCAAGAATTGGACACAATAATGATGGTAGTATGAAGTGTTGAAATGGGAGCCATTAGTGCATCAGACATCACTAGAATCTTGAGTTGTTGAATCGCTCTATGTACGATGACGTTCCATGTAGGTGGAACATTGGGTTTCTTGAACTTGGAAACGACAGTAAGATTTTCCTTGTACCCCACTTGATAAAACATTTCCAAGATAGCAACATTAGAAATGGTTTATGGGTTAACCATGTTATCAGAATGAGGAAGCCCAAACAGACTGCAGAAAGGGCTTTGGAAATAGAGGTCGACTAGTTATGGATGTCTAAGTATATCCGTTGTTCATCCTTGATATAGTTAGCTGTTGTATATGCCTTGGATAGAATCGAGATCGGAACATTCTCAAGTTCAGTCAAAGCAATAGTGAGAGGGGGTATTTCAAGAACTTGATAAGAAGGAGCAAGAAAGGATCATACATAACTGGATCCAGATCGATGATGAGATTTTGGTGTTGCTTGATGGCCAGAAGAGTTGAAAGAGCAGTTTATTTGTGAACTGAAAGATTCTCAGATGATCCTGCCATTAATGAAACGTAGAGAAGAAGATGAATAGTAGAGAACTTTTTGATCGCCGAAAATTGCTATATGAACTTTGAAAATGGTAATGAGAGATGGAAGCGTCAAAATCTTTATATACGATTCGATATGTGAGCAAAATCCGGAGAGTGAGTGTATCGGTTACTCAACCGTCGCCTGAAAAACCGCGATGTGACAAATGTGAAGTGTTAGATACACGCGTCACACGGCGTAGTAATAGCTGTCCGTTCATCTTTGCACGTGCCCGTTTGAATTCTTATCTTTTAAATTTTGTTGCGTCTGCTCATCTCCATGCGCATTTAAGAAAATGATTTTGATTCATACGAACGTTGAAAGACACGAACGTGGGTACAACTGCGAACCTGAAAAATTATTAGTAACCACGAACCATACTTTTTGAAAATCACTAGGATCTTCGTGCAAGAGTGTAAAAGAGAATGAAATAAAATGAAGTATATATGTGGGAATTAGTGATGTCTAAATAAAGACATAAAACTATTGATCCCAGCCAAAGATCTCTTCATTCATAGTCAAGAGAGACTAAGAAGTGTCTGTGTGATTTCCTGTTGAATACAATCAAATGTTTGATAAGAAACATTGAAAGGCATCTTATCATGAGGCTTTATAAAGGGTGGTTCATCCTTCAACCAAACTACGAACTTGACATAAGTGTGAAAGTTGGTAGAAGTACTCGTGTGACCAGTGTAGTCAGTTGAACGAATAGGTTTGGAATTTATGTCATTGACTTGGATAAGTATTGAAATCTCAAAAATAAAATAAAAATTGGATCCATTGGGAAGAAATGTCTTGGGACGAGAGCATTTCATTAGGATCTCACAAAAGAGAAGAGATTTCTTGGTACTGACCATGAACATGGACTTTCGTTAATTCCTTGGTGAAAATACTAGAACATTTAATTGTTCACCGTCAATTCATATAAGGTATTGAATTTTGGGTTTCACTCAGTTCATGGTAGAACGAAACTAAGATCATTAACAGATGTTCTGTAACCATAAACCTCAGTGGTAATTTTTTGAGAGTCTCAAGGGTTACATGTATGGATGTGAAAGTGACCATGCAGATAAGTCTTAACTCAATATGAGAATTGTAAGGTAGCTCATGACTAATGTGAATTCATAGCCTGATTGGGAAGAATTGATTGGTAGTATCAAGTCATTAAGGCTTCATAATCGAGTCGTTGAGGCTTAGGTCAACATGCAGCAGCATGCTTCTAGGGATACTTAGCTAATACATAAGTAAAGCGATTTCTACCCGCCACATCACACGAATGGATAGATGTTGCGAACATCTAATGGTATGATCGTAGTGTGAACCTGTTGAATGTTTGTGAAAAGAAAAGGGATAAAAATAAACACAAATTAAAAATCTTTTTATGATTTTAATTTTCTGAAAAACACAACAAAAAAATAGAAAAGAATAAACTATTTTTGGTTTTTGAGATTTTCTGAAAACCAATGAATAAAAACAAATAAACTAATTTTGGTTTTTTGAAAATTTTCTAAAAAGAAATAAAAAGAGAAAATATACGAGCTAAAAATAAAGATAAACAATAATATACAAATGGTACAAAAGGATATATGAAAAACCAAACCATGAGTGAACAGTGGACTACGAACTACTGCGAACATTTGCACCAATTCGCATTCAGAAAGAAGACTATCAATGAACAGTTGACTGTGAATTACTGCGAACGTTCGCACCGATTCACAGTGTAACTTTATGAGTGCAAAAGTGGTTTTGGTATAGATTCATCTTCCATCATTCCCAGCCCTTGAAGTATTCTATTTAAGGTTGCTTCTGGTAGGGCCTTGGTGAATATGTCGGCTAATTTTTCAGCGGATCTTAAGACATGAATTTCCACATTGTCATCTTCCACATCATCCTTGATAAGTGATACCTTAGTGCTATATGTTTCTTCCTTGAATGTTGCACTAGGTTGTGACAAATGCGAATAGCACTTTCAGAGTCACAATAGAGAGGGATTCTTTTCATACTTAGGCCATAATCGAGAAGCTGGCTTTGAATCCAAATGACCTGAGATGTGCACGAAGTTGTAGCTATGTATTCAGCCTCAACTGTTGACAACGAAACGCATGTGTGTTTCTTTGATTGCCAACTCACCAGCTTGCCATCAAGAAATTGGCATCCACAAGTTGTGCTTTTTCTATCTAAGTCGCAACCCCCTAGGTCATCATCTGAGAATGCTTTCACAAAAAATCCTGAGTTCGCAAGATACCATAACCAAGAGATGACTTTCGTTTAGATACCTGAAGATATTCTTGATAGCCACCATATGAGGTAGGGATGTCAACGGGGGCGAACGGGATGGGGAGTGCATTCCCCACCCCCGCCCCCGAAATTTCCCCATTCCTCCGCCCCCGCCCCCGCCCTCGGAATGTTCAGCCTTTCTACCCCCGCCCCGCCCCCGAATCCCCTTTATTACCCCGCCCCCATCCCGTTCCCCCACCCCCGATTGATTTTGGGCCACCTTTTTTTGGGCTAAAAGAAGTTGTTATTTATGCTAAAAGAAGCTATTTTTAGGTAAAAAATAATTATTTATAGCAGAATTTTACATGTTAAAAATAAAATGTTATAGCATTTTAAAAAATTATACTAACAACTTAAAAATATGTTTTTTGATGAATTTTGGAAGCTCAAAATCATGTTATTGTTTATTATATTTATATAATTAATATATGTAAATATATGTGTAATTTATTAACGGGGTCCCCATGGGGGTTTCGGGACGGGATTGCCTACCCCCGCCCCCCAAAAAAAAACGGGGGTTAACATTGCCCCCACCCCCGCCCCCGCTCCCGATTTTTTTTTTAAAAAATCCCCCAAACGAGACGGGCCCCCCACGGGAACGGGGTCCCACAGGACTTTTTGACATCCCTAATATGAGGTTTGCGTGGGTTGGCTTGGAATCTAGCATAATAACAAACTGCGAACATAATATCTGGTCTACTAGCTGTTAGATACATGAGTGATCAAATCATCTAACGATAAAGAGTCATATCCGCAGACGGTTTATCCAGTGAAGGGGTCAGTTTTGTTCCAAATGTCATTGGTACCTTCATCTTCGAGTCTCCCACCATTCCAAACTTAGCAAGTAAGGTCTTTTTGTAACCTTCCTGATTAATCTAAATTCCTTCCTGTCCCTGTCTAATGTTTAATCCAAGAAAAAAGTTAATTGGACTCATTGAGCTCATCTCAAATTTAGTTTCCATCAGCTTTCAGAACTCAGCTGTAAGGCTGGGATGAGTAGATCCGAAGATGATATCATCAACGTAAATTTGTACAATTATCAAGTGGTCACCCTCTTTCTTGCGAAAGAAGGTTGGGTCAACGAACCTTGTTTGAATTTGGACATTTTAATAAAACGAGTTAGTGTTTCATACCAGGTTCTTGGAGCTTGTTTTAGACCATAAACTACTTTTTCAAGAATATAACAGTGGTTGGGATATTTTTCATTTACAAATCCAGGTGGTTGTTCCACATAAACGGTCTCTTCCAGTTTGCCATTTAGGAATGCACACTTCACATCCATTTGAAAAACTTCAAAATTCTTGTGTGCTGCATATGCCAAGAAGATATGAACGGATTCCAACCTTGCAACGGGTGCGAAGGTCTCTTCGTAGTCAATCCCCTCTTCCTGGTAATAACCTTTTACCATTTGTCTAGCTTTGTTTCTGATCACATTCCCTTCTTTATTCATTTTATTCCGAAACACCCATTTTAAACCAACAATCGATGTATCTAGGGGAGTTGGAATCAGTTTCTAAACTTTGTTTCATTCGAACTCAATGAGTTCATCTTGCATCGCTTGCACCCAATCAGAATGATCGAGAGCAGTGTTGACAATTTTGGGTTCAACCTTGGATATGAACGAATTAAACATACAAAATTCTAATTTGGAGAATAATGTAGTTTGCTTCACTTTTGTGCATAAGCTTTTGTATATAGAGTTGAAAACATTTCTTTGTAAATGAAATGTATGCACAAGAAAAATCCAATATTTTCCTTATAAAATGAGTTGCAATCTTAAGACCCAAAGACCAAAATATACAAGTATTTTACCATACTTATAATAGTGTAAGCAGTCTTATAAAAATAACACCCATTTTGAATGTATAGATCCCCGTAAACTAGGTATATTGTTATATCCCTATGTGAGTTATTATAACCATACCGATTGACATAGTAGCCTGTAACGATGTTCTTCAGGCGTCAGAATGTTATGACATTTGTCACCCCAGACCTGCTGGTCTAGCTGTTGCATGCAACTAAGGT